TGTGTGTGTGTGTGTGTGTGTGTGTGTGTGAATATATATAGATAGATAGATAGATAGATAGATAGTCTTTTTGCCATTAACATTTTCTAGAAATGAAAACAATCGCAATGATAGTAGTGTTAATGAGGATGAATAACAGTTATGATTATAAAATTGATGATATTAATAATAATGATGATAATGATGGTGATAACGGCACTGATAATCAGATTAATAATAATGACAATAGTAGTGATAAAAATAATGATAATGATGATAATAAGAATGATGATAAAGATAAAAAGATAATAACAATAATGATGAAATACTACTACTACTACTACTAATAATAATAACAACGATAATAATGATGATAACAATAACAGTAATAGTAATAATGATAATAGTATTTATAACGTTTATAATGATAATAATGATGATGATACTTATAATGGTGGTCATTATAAGGACAATAATAATGATAACGATCATGATGGTGATAATGGTAATAATGATAAACGTAATAATAATAGTAATAACAATAATAATGAAAATAACAATAATAGTAATAATAATGATAATGATAACAGTATTAATGATAATGATAATAATGGCAACTATAATGATATTGATGATAATAAAGATAAAAATAACAATAATAATGATTTTGATAATATTAACAATAATGATACGATAATGATGATGATAATAATAACAATAACGATGATAACAATAATGGTAATAACAATGCCCAAGATATATCAAGGCAAATACTTCTGAATCTGATGAAATCGTGACGTTAGTAAGAAAATTGGATTGTAACAAAAGCAAAAAAAGTGAAACGAAATTGGGAAACAGTTGAAGCATTAATGATATAGAGAATTATATTTATATATCCATAAGTTCTTTACGATAAGGATAGGGAGAAAATATATAATACATTAACAGTGAGGTAAGACAATAAGAGAGAATAAATATTTGATTAATATGTGGAATCGTTTGCAGATAATTATCTTTTAAAAAGTCCACTATTTCGCGCGGTTTTCAGACACGGATGTCGGATGGAGAATATATGAATTTAATTGTTTGAGTTTTTTATTTGATATCGTATATAACATTTGTTTTGACCAATTGTGTGTAAAATAATATCACAGTGCGGTGAGGTGAGAAATAAGTTCAATTTATATAGTTTTTTTGCCATTCTTTAGTTTAATATGTTTGATTTTTTTCCATCAAAATTCTGTCACGTAATATATGAATCAATGATATTATATTACCTTCATAACAAAAATCATACGAAATCAAACAATCGACCCTAAAGACCCAAAAGTCCTTACAACATTTTGAAATTATCTAAAAAAAATGAAATATATATATTCACTTATATTTAAACAATCATCGCAAAACCCACGATTTAGTCCAACCCGAGGAAAGTCAAGAGATATGTATTAATTGTTTTATTGCGAGCGAGTGTTGAACAACGGTTGCGGCAGACAGAGTGAGATGATTTACGGCCCTCCGTCTGTAAGCTCCTGAACCGTTCATGCTAACTGCATTACACATATAACGAATAAAGACTAACTTTTTATCCCTTCTCTTTCTTTCTTTCTTTTCGCTCTCTCTCTCTCTCTCCTTTTCCCTTCTCTTTCTCTTCTCTTCCATTTCTCTCTTTCTCTTTCTCTTTCTCTTTTCTCTCTCTCTCTCTCTCTTCTCTCTCTCTCTCTCTCTCTTCTCTCTTCTCTCTCTCTCTCTCTCTCTCTCTCTCTCTCTCTCCTCTCTCTCTCTCTCTCTCCGCTCTCTCGCTCTCTCCCCTCCTCTCTCTTCCCCCCTCTCTCTCTCCCCCTCTCTCTCTCCCCCCTCTCTCTCTCCCCCTCTCTCTCTCCCCCTTCTCTCTCTCCCCTTCTCTCTCTCCCCTTCTCTCTCTCCCCTCTCTCTCCCCCTCTCTCTTCTCCCTCTCTCTCTCCCTCTATCTCTCCCCCCTTCTCTCTCTCCCCCTTCTCTCTCTCCCCCTCTCTCTCTCCCCTCTCTCTCTCCCCCCTCTCTCTCCCCCTCTCTCTCTCCCGCTCTC